AAAGCCACTTCTGCATGAGTTCGGTACCCGCCTGCCCCGGAGGTGACCACATGGTGTGGCAGACCTCTCCTGACCCGCCCGCTGCTCCCCTCAGCAGTGTACTTCATCGATCTGCCTGTTCTGCTTCCCTCTCTGTCTCTGGTGAATCCTCTTACCTTCCGCATCTCTGGCCTGTACCCCAGTTCTGTATGAATAAACAAATAAATCTTTAAAAAAAAATTGAATGCATGTGAAGAAAACTTCAAATATATGGGAACTAATCAACACACCATTGAAATACTAATGAGTTAGTGAAGAAATCAAATCAACCTGAGTCTGCCAGAGAGGGAAATGAATTAAGAGCTGTAAGAACAAAGTGGGAAGGGAGCACAATAGAGTATGGTGGTAAGTATGGATGATTTTTTAGTGGGATTCCTTTGGTAACAACACTGGAAGGTAGCATCCTATACTTCTAGAACACAACAAGATGTAAGCCATTGTTACTTAAATTTAAAAAATATATATATAATTAATAAATATAAAAATACAATTTAAAAAATCTTTCAACCACAAACAATCTATAGACCTTATTTAGCTCTTGGGGGGGGGATGAATTAATTGAATTTAATTAATTTTACTTTCCCCAAAGGTATGTTTATGCTTTGTTTTAATTTTATTTGTATTTGAATAGAAATGATAATTAAGAAAATGATATCTGGCCCTCTCTGGTGTTGCAATGGTTTAGGACTAAGCACTGAAAACTAGCCACAGCCACTTTCAGTGCAAGTTTGATTCCCTGCCCCAGAGGCGATCCATATGGGGTGGCAGACCTCTCCTGATCCACTCACTGCTGCCTCAGCAGTGTACTTCTTCAATCTGCCTGTTCTTTTCCCCACTCTTTTTCTGGTGAATCCTCTCACCACCCTGCAACTATGGCCTGTACCCCAGTCTGTATGCAAAATAAATAAATCTTAAAAAAAAGAAAGAAAGAAAATGTTATTATCCTCTCTCCTTGTCTGAATTATATAGTCATTGTGTTTAGAACTGTTTTTAATTTTATTTTTATTTATTCATAAAATAACTGGGGAGTAGATGAGACATGTGGGGGGTTAGATAGTGTGGGACACAACACAGACAGATCTACAGAAATACACTGTTGAGAAGAAGCAGAATGCCAAATAGGAGAGGTCTGCTATGTCTTGTGTGTTAGCTTCCTGGCCAAGGATTGAACTTAAGTCCCAATGGCTGGAGATAGCTTGATGGTACTGAGACTTACCCTTGTGCCACCATGAAATTCCCTCTACCTGCAATGTTTTCACTCCTTCTAGTCTTCTTTTCACCAAAAAAAATCTACTAGTTTTGCCATGTCACTTGAAATGTAACTTCTCCCAGAAAATCTTCCTCAGATAAGACTCATGCTATACATAGGTCATTCTGTCATTTTCCCTAATAATATTTTGATTTTATATTTTTTTAATCAATAAAGAATTATGAAATATTATAAGAATTATTTAAATGTTATTATAAGAATTATTTAAATTTTCTAAGATTTAAATATTATCTTAATAGACTGTGTGATTCATGAAGAGGCAATTTCTCTATTGAAATGGCCATAGAAACCTTATTTCTCAGCATCAGTCTAATAATTAATGCTTAGCAAACACTTGCAAAATATTTACTGACTTCTTTAATCTGGTTAATAGAGTGTTGTATTAGCTCAGGTGTTAAATTAGTCAATACTTTCTCAGAATAGTTTGGGACACTTTCAAATTTTGTAAACTAGAGAATGTGCACATAACATTCAGAGAGTAACCAGTTTAAGTGGTGTTTGATATTTATGAGGTTTTTATTGACAATAAAAAATATGTATAAAAGACAATAGTGGCCTATGTTTGGGAGTAATGAGAACTCTCAGGTTAAGAACATCAACTTGTGATGGGATCTTTCAAGAATTCTCAGAAGATCATGAAATACGGACTTGAAAGAGTAGACATGGAAATCCAGTGTTGTGATAGAGACTTTCCACGTCACTCAATGGGAAGCCTCGTGAAGGGGGTAGAGCCAAGAGTAATGCAAAATTCTTAATTAAATTGAACATGAGATGATGAATCCTGTCTGTAATAAACAAGTATTAACATAAAAGGCCTTTGTGGTTACAAGTAATACAAAATTAAGTCTTCCTAGGGAAGAGAAGTACTGTGTTAATCTCTTTGTAGTTCTGAATAAAAGGGGAAGAAAAAAAGAGTAAGCCTCCTTTTGAAGATAATGTGACTTTCTGGGTTCAGCCAGGAGCAAAATGTCCATAGAAACTTCACTTCCTCTTCATCCAAATTCTGCTCATTATATCTTAAAAGATTGCTTTGAGTCTCATGAGAATTGTATGGAAAACCCGTGATATATTTCTAAATAAGAAAATCAGTTCCAGAAAGAGAAGAGAGTATAGGCAGCAACATTACAACATCACCAGGATAATTGCAACATTACTGGAAGCCATTGCTAAGTACTATACTGCATCTGCTTCTATTAGGGCTTTCATTTTTCTCCCACATTTTTTTTTTTAATTTGACCATCCATATTATAGTATAGAGCAGGATAAAGAAGCTAGGCACCCAAAAGTAAACTTGATTTGATCTGATTATTCTTATCTTCTAAAGCTTCAGCTTATGTTAGTTAAAATGACTTATTTTCTTAAGACTCTCCTCCAAATTCAATTGCCTGTAGTGGGGAGAGGTCTACTTAAATCAATGTCCTTAGCCAGTTGATGAAACACAGCTCCTGTCTTTGTAGTGTATCACGACTGAAATCTTGTCTCCATTATCATTCATCTTTTCAACTTATGCTCACCATTTAGTGCTTTTATTCAAGGGACACACTAATAAAATTGAACACTATGGGCCCTCTCTGGTGGTGCAGCAGGTTAAAGCACTGCACTAAGAACCTTTAGCTACTTACACATGAGTTCGATCCCGCCTGCCCCGGAAGAGATCCACATGGCTTGGCAGACCTCTCCTGACCCCCCCCACCCCGCTGCTCCCCTCAGCAGTGTACTTCATCGATCTGCCTGTTCTGCTCCCCACTCTGACTCTGGTGAATCATCTCACCCTCCGCATCTCTGGCCTGTACCCCAGTTCTGTATGAATAAATAAATAAATCTTTAAAAAAAAATTGAACACTATTATTCAAAACTATACAGTATCCTCCTCGTTCACAATGATGTCACTTCCATTAAAAGTCTTATGTACATATCATCTATAATATTTATTTATTTGAAATCAAACACAGGTAGTTAAATTATAATTCACCAATGTATTTCAATTTATATGACTCATTATACACAGAAATATTTCCTGCAACAATGGATAGGCAATAGATATTTATTGTGTAAGTTTATTAATACGAATTGAATCATAAATTAAATTAGAACTCCTTTGTAAGACCATATTACAAATAAAATTTCAAATTTCATTCCTGATTTCCAGAATTAATTGGTTAAAAAAAAAGTTAACCATGGAATTTTTTTAAAGACGTTCCTCATGGACTATTGCTAGTAAAAGTACAGGAGACAAGATAAACCCCACAGCTATCAAAGTAAGCTTACTAGTCAGGAAGGGAATGTTTAGAGAGGTAGGAGGCAACTAAATGCTTGAAGATAATCATGAAAAGAAGTACCAGAAAAAATATTTTGTATAAAATAAATAAGCTACAATGTAGGCAGATATAAAAAATAATCGTTTGGTCTAAAATAAAATTTTCCAACAAAACTTAGATCTGCCAAAGGTGTGTGTCCTCTTTATAGTCTATAAGAAGCTACCACAGTTTCACCCATTATATCTAACACTGTCTGACCTTTCTTGATAAGGGACAGGAAGAGCTCTTAGTAAGTAGAAATTCTTGAGACATTTTTTAATTTTCAACTTCAGTCATCATAAATTTCACAGTCAACTGAGAAAACGTAGATAAGGAATTACCATTTTAATATTTCCCATACTGTCTTATTATTAAAATACCAATGGTTTCCAGTGTAGATTGTTTTAAAGTATAGACTCGCCACCACCCCAATCACAAAGTACATCACCAGAGCACCCATTGCCAGGCATCACAGCACATTGTGCTGCATCCCCTCTGTGTTCTTGCCCTGCTCACTGCCCCTGACCCTCTGGTAGCTTCACTTCTACAGCAGGATTCTAGGATTTGTTATTTGGCTTTATCTGACCTTTTGTTTGGTTTCTCCACATTCTCATGTAAATGACATCATGCACTATTTGTCTTTTTCCTTCTGACTTATTTTGCATAGCATAACCCCCTTCAGTCCCATCTATGTGGTTAAAAAGAACAAAAAGATTTATTAGAATATTAGTCTGATTTGGGGGCCCTCCCTGGTGATGCAATAGGTTAAAGCCCAGCACTCAGAAGCTAAAGCCACTTCATCATGAGTTCAACCCCGCCCTTGAAGTCACCCACATGGCACTGCAGACCTCTCTTGGCCAGCCCACTGCTCCCCTCAGCAATATACTTCATCAGTAGGCCTGTTCTGCTCCCCACTGTCTCTGGTGAGTCCTCTAACCAGTCCTGCACCTATGGCCTGTACCCCAGTTCTGTATGCATAAATAATCTTTAAAAAAAAAGAATTATCAGTCTGACTTGGAATCTATCACAGATATAAACTTTAGTTTCATTTGCATCTAGAAGAATACTATTAATATTATTTTCTGAGGGAATGCTAGTTGGTCATTTTTTTAAATGTTATTTTCTAACCATAATAATTACACTATGAATGGTAATACTGTTCCTCACTTTAATGTAGGCCCATCCCTCTGATGGGATACATGCCAAGTTCAGCCAAAAGGGAGTCATGTGCTTTTCAGAAGATGACAGCTTAAGATAAAGATTTAAGAGTGTTTGAATCTGGAGGTAGGAGTGGTATTTTATAGGTCTGAGCTAAAACATGTGATAGTCACTGTACAGTAGCTGGAAAGAAAAGTGTGTGAGGCACTTAATCAGCTCAAACAGTTCAATGAACACTAGCAGAAGAATGCTGCTGGCTGTTATATACCTCCTACTTTGGAGCTTCTCCACCTCCACTGGCCACTTCCCTAGAGCCTGTACCTCCTCCAAGAACCTGATGGAGAAGGAATGCTGCCCATTGTGGAGGGGTGATGGGAGTCCCTGTGGCCAACTTTCAGGCAGGGGTTCCTGTCAGGACATTGCTCTATCCAATGCACCACTTGGGCCACAATTCCCCTTCACAGGGGTGGATGACCGGGAATCTTGGCCTTCTGTCTTCTATAATAGGACCTGCCAGTGTTTTGGCAACTTCATGGGATTCAACTGTGGAAATTGCAAGTTCGGCTTTTGGGGGTCAAACTGCACAGAGAGGCGACTCCTGGTGAGAAGAAACATCTTCGACTTGAGTGTTCCAGAAAAGGACAAATTTCTTGCTTATCTCACTTTAGCCAAGCATACTACCAGTCTAGACTATGTCATTCCCATTGGCACATATGGACAAATGAATAATGGATCAACACCCATGTTTAGTGACATCAACATTTATGACCTCTTTGTCTGGATGCATTATTACGTCTCAAGGGACACCTTGCTTGGGGGATCTGAAATCTGGAAAGACATTGATTTTGCTCATGAAGCACCAGGTTTCCTGCCTTGGCATAGACTCTTCCTGTTGCTGTGGGAACAAGAAATCCAAAATCTGACAGGGGATGAGAATTTCACTATTCCATATTGGGATTGGCGAGATGCAGAAAACTGTGATATTTGTACAGATGAGTACATGGGAGGCCGCAACCCAGCAAATCCTAACCTACTTAGCCCGGCATCCATCTTCTCATCCTGGCAGGTAAGATGGTCTGAACATAAATACCAAAACAAATAGGAACCTTAGCAATAGCCTCTTCAGAAAGGTATTCTTAAATATCTTTTATCATCTTACCCTGCAAGCACAGAAAAGATCCCCTGTTCAGAGCTCTCAAAAAACTTTGTATTTTTCCCCATAGCATATTTTATAATCATAGTTACATAAATATTTGTGTGATTACTTGTTTAGTTCTAGGTTTCTAAGTTCAAATAAATACAGAGAACTAAGTTCATAACTTAGCTAACAGCACCTAGACTAGTGCCTGGTAAAAGACAAATATGTGTTAATAATATTTATTTTAAAATAGGCATTTTGACATTTATATGATTAAATAATAAATAATTTAGGGTAGTATTTCTGAAATTTTCTTCAAAATAAAATTTATTTAGTACACATATTAAAACCACAAACCATGTACTTTATTCCTGACTCATCGATAAGAATCTTTAAGGAAGGGACCTGGAATGAGTCATTTGATCAATGTCTGTGATGATTATTATCATCAGGAAAGTGTTTGGAAAAAAAAAAAGTCATTAAAATATATGAGGATTCTGAAACCTGATTAGGTAAATAATGAAAATACCTAATATTAATTCACTGACCATCATTATATGGATAGTCCTATTCAAAGTAGCCTTTCTCATCTTCATCAATTTAAAGATAAAGTGAAACATTAAGTTATAAAATCTCTCATCTTCATCAATTTAAAGATAAAGTGAAACATTAAGTTATAAAATCACTAGATAACTTGTAGAATCTCAAAGAACTAGAAAGTAGCTGAAGCAATGCTTATTCTCAGATACCTGGGTGCATGACTACCCTACACTATTTTTAAAGGTATGAGTCAAATGAGGTGACCCATTCTGTCTCACTGACTTTTTCCTTATATCACAGGAAAAAAATAGTTTACTTTTCTAAAAATATGACAAAAAAAAAAAAACAGAGGTATTGTATAAAGTAAGGAAGAATTATTTTGATAATATTTAATTTCTGTTTTTCCTTTTCTAAATTTTTCACTTGGGCTTAGAGGCGCAAAATAACATAAGGCATGTGTTTTTAATTATTTACTGTATTAAAATCATAGTGGAAGGAATGCTTCTCTGCCTGCATTCTAGACATTTCTAATACAGCAATTTTGTATAGCAATACATTAAGGAACTCAGTACAATATTTAATGAATTGGGAAAATTCATCCAATGTGCCTTGGACTGCAGTTTTGACATAGGTATGTCTTCCCCCTATTCCTAATAAGTTGATATACTTTCAAAAGGGAGCCTTGGAAACTCGCTGAAAAATGGCCACTGTATACATTCTAGTGTGACTAATGTCAGCTATTTATCACAAATTAATATTTGTGCAGGAAAGACTGGGAAAGATGTACTTGAAGAATCTATTTCAGTAAACCTCAGACCTCCTTTCTCAATCTCTAAATGCATTTCTCATCATGTGCTCATATCCTCCTTTGATGTTTAAATCCTGCTAAGCTTAGACATAGGAGTTTTATAATGCTTTAACTATTCAACTTTACTTGACCCAGAGAGTCTGGGGAATTGTCTAAACTACAAATATTAAAAAAGTCATAATAGCCAACTAAGTCTAAGAGAAAAATACTAATTGATATTTAATTTCATAATATATACTACCTGGTAATGCCAACACTTATATTGTTTTTTTCTAGTAACTTATTGATTATTGAATGTATATTTTCCTATCTATTCAATGACTTATGACCACAGTTATTTTTATAAAGAAAATTGTCTGCTCTAGTGACAATTACTGGGTTGAAGTCACTACAACATTAAACTCAATATTGTTACATAATTAAACTGCTGTGCATTAATCTGTTAAACATAAATTTAGGAAAAAGGTGGATGAAGATATTTTAAGGAAAACAAGCAAACAGCATCCTTCTTCTTCTTTTTTTAATCCAGTTTTTTTTAATGATTTATTTATTTATTCATCCAAGACCTGGGGTACAAACCAGAGGTACATGACATGAGACAATTCACCAAATACAGAGTGGGGAGCCGAGCAGTCAGATCTACTGAAATATACTGCAGTAGGAGGGATGGAAGCGTTCTACTGCACCATTTAAGTCAACCCATTGCCCCAGTGGCTGCAGATAGCTTCACAGTACTGCAATTTAACCCCTTATACTAGCCCACTCTAAATAAAGAAGGTGAAATGAATGAACATTTGTGTCCATCAACCAAGTGGTTGCTGCATTACATGAGGTTGGACAGTCAACACCAATGCACCTGAACTTTCTCTATTCCTGCCTCTCTTGGTGATAATCCTTAAAAAATTTAGATCAGTTACTTATATTGGTTAGGTTTAATGGTTTTCAGCATCTAAATCATTTAGCAAAATAAAAATAAAGTTATATGGTTTTACCCAGTTATCTTCTACCAGAAAAATGATATCCAGGTAAGTCTGCTGTGAAGATCAGGCATTATTATTTTTAAAACTTGATGCTATTCTCATGTTCCATCAACACTGAGAATCACAGATTTAATTGATATGCAAATTGTTTATGCATCCCTTTCACATTATAACTTAGGTTCCGTAAACATACCACTAGATTGCTAATTTAAATGTTTTTTTTTTCTGAATTGAGCTCTCAAATTGAAAACTACAATAGTTCTTGTGACATAAGTTTCTAGATTCAGTAATTTCATTAAAAGTTTTCAAATTATTAGCAGTAAAATCCCTGATATAAAGGATATAAAGTCTTTTTTTTTCTTAATTTCATGTCTTCATAAATATAGCAGTTTTAGAGATTCTTAGAGTTTATGAACTCTGACTTAAAAAAATCTCTCAAAGGGAACCTCCCTGGTGCAGCACTATGAAACTATCTACAACTTCTGCAGCACATCCCTGGCCAGGGAGCTGGCCCACATGGTGTGGCAGATTTCTTCTCTTCCCTCAGCAGTGTATGACAGTCAAACCACCTATTGTGTTCCCCACTCTGTCTCTGGTGAATCTGCTCATGCCCCCCAACCTCTGGCTTATACCCCAGTACTTGCATACATAAATAAATATAAAAAAACCTCTCAAAATGATGTAGTTTATGTCTTTTATTAAAATAAACAAACAAACATAGATATCAAAAGATATAGGATGGTTTGTCCAAAGTCACAGAGCTGAAACTTAAAACCCACTAATTCTGACTTCAATGCTATTTCAAGTCAACTATGTTATTCCCTATTTTTAAGCAACCATTTAAGATCAGAAATAAACCACTGATTCATGGATGTTAATTTTGAGTTATAGTAATGACTCACTTAAAATTCAGTTGCATAGATACCTGGGGCAGCTATACTGATGTAGTCGTTTTAATTCAATTTATAATGAAAAAAAAATACATAGGATTTTTACTGATCCACCTTGCTTTGTAAGATAGAACTGAGTCTAACCACTTTGTGCTATCATTTCACTTTGTCCAAACTTATAACACTACTATATGGTATATGACATGGGTATTATAAGTATAGATTGAATTATTAAAAGCATATAACAAATATTAGCTTCAGTGTTAACATACATAAAAAATACTGCACAACCAGGTTTTCTAAAACATTTATGTAAGACAAGTAATACTTACTGGTTGAGTTTTCTATTAAATGGAACATAACTAAAAATATTATTTAATGTTATTTGTCTTAACTTACATTCAAAGTCCATATTTTATTTGTATTATATATTTATTTATGTTCAAAGAAATTTTACAGTGGAACGACGCTTGCCATCAATTTAAGCAATGTTTTATTTTGGAGGTTGTAATTGCTTAGTAACATTAAAGTACAAATAATGTTGCTCAGTTCAATTATATGCAAGTTATGCAAGCAACAAATAAATTAGCCTATTAAAATGAAAGGTAAATTAGAGGAAGCTGTCATGATGGATGAAAACAGAGAAAATATTTCCTAGATGTTAGACATGTATAAAATGCAGCTGAGAAACTCAGTCATAAGGTGAAAGGCACATCACATGGAAGGAAACAATGGAAAGAAAAAAAAGTCACATTTCAGCAGAGAGTCATGGGTTTTAGGTAACCATGGCAACAGCTCATAGAAAAATAACAGCTTCACTTTTTACTTTATGAAAAAGATTCTGTGGAATGTCATGTGGTTTACTTTTTTTTTTTTCAAGTAATCTTAACCTGAATGCTTTTGCTGTTATTTCTTTAAATTTTAGAACACTGTCCACATTCACCTTATTCATTAATACATCTGTTTTGTTTTTTATAATTAGCATTACTATTGGGACATCCATGTTTATGTCTCATATTATAGGATTTTTTCTCTTCAGGTTAGTTCACCATAGTTTTCCTATCAGTAGAGTACCCATGGTCCTCACAATAGTCCAATCCATTTTGCTCTCCTCTCCCCATGTTGTGTGTGTGTGTGTTTAAGATTTACTTATTTTTGCACAGAGAATTGGGGTACAGGCCAGAGGTGCAGGGGTGGTAAGAGGGTTCACCAGAGACAGAGTCGGAAGCAGAACAGTTAAATCAACAAATTACACTGCTGGGGGAGCAGTGGGCAAGACAAGAGAGGTCTGCATTGCCATGTGGATCACCTCCAGGGCCCAGGTTTGAACTTGCACTGAAGCAGCTGTTTCTAACTTGCAATGTTGCACCACCAGGAAGGGCCTCCCCATGTTTTTCATGGTCCCCATCTCTTGTCCTCCCCCTTCTCACTTGAGTATCTCAGTTCTATTGTCTGTTCTCAAGCGTCAGTCTCACAGTTTGTCTATGTCTGATCCTATGTTTAGGGTCTTTAGATTTTACATAAAAGTGAATCATTCAGTATTTATCTTTCTTCTCCTATTTCACTTCACTTAAAATAGCCCCTACCGGCCCTCCCTGGTGGCGCAGCAGGTTAAAGCACAGCACTAAGAAGCTAAAGCCACTTCCGCATGAGTTCGATTCTTCGATTCCCGCCTGCCCTGGAAGTGACCACATGGCGTGGCAGACCTCTCCTGACCCGCCCACTGCTCCCCTCAGCAGTGTACGTCGTAGCTCTCCCTTTTCTGCTCTCCACTCTGTCTCTGGTGAATCTTCTCACCCTCTGCATCTCCACCCTTTACCCCAGTTCTGTATGAATAAATAAATCTAAACAATAAAAAAAAAAAATGGCCCCTTGCAATTCCAGTGAAGTTACCACAAATAGAGTATGAGTTTATCTTTTTGTTTTCTGAGTAGTATTCAACGTGTGTGTGTGTGTGTGTGTGCATCACATTTCCTTGTTATGGTCATCTTTTCTGGGGCATTCAGGTTTTTTGCATACTTGGCTGTAATAGTGCTGCTGTAAACATAGGAGTGCAGGTTTCCTTTTGGATTAGTGTTTTTGTGTCCTTTTGATAAATACCCGGTGGTGAAATTGCTAGGTCATATGACCAACCCATTTTTAGCCATTTGGGGAATCTGCACATCTTTCCATAAGTGGTAGAGCAGTCTACTTTCCTAATAGTGGTGAATAGGGATCCCTTAACTGCCCTTATTGTTTCTGATTCTTTTGATATTGGCCACCCTCACAGGTGTGAATTAGTATCTCATTGTGGTTTTGATATGTATTTCCCTGATAAGCAATAATGAACATTTTTCCATATGACAATGACTATCTGGATATCTTTGGAGAAGTGTCTCTTTAGCACCTCTGCCCAATTTTTTTGTTAGATTGTTTTCTTTTAGTTGACTTATATATGCTCTTTGTAGATCTTCACTATCAATCCAATATCAGCACACACACACACACACACATGCATATGTGTGTGTATTTCTTTTTAATCTCCTTTTCTTCATTTGACATGAAATACTTGATATTTCATATGTTATAAATTATGTGCTTTGAAATTAAAAAAAAAAATTCTTCATCAAAAGACCTATGCCATTTACCAGATGATACCTGACAAGTCATTTACCATACGATACCTGAAAATTTATGGAGACTATCCTTTGGTTTATTGACACAGAACATAAGTAGAGAAGAATCATGAGTTTCGTTTTGGTTTTAATGTAAATTTAAATGCCATAAAAATCAGGATAATGTAGCAGAAAGGGTATATAATATTTTGAGATAAATTATCTTTTCACTGTATTTTGTATCTTAATTATAAGATTATGATCAGGGTCCTCCTTGATGGTGGAAAAGATTAAATTGCACAACTGTGAAGTTATGTCAACCATTGCAGCATGCGTTTGACTTCCGGCCAGGAAGGTGATCCACAAGGAATGGCATACTTCTCCTGACAAGCCTGCTGCTTCTCTCAGCAATGCATGTCAGTATATCTGCTCCCCACTCTTTCTCTGGTGAATCTTCTCACCTTTTCACACCCTCGGGCTATACCCCACTTCTGTACAGGATTTCTGTCTTACTCCCTAGGTCCCTGACTTCAGTTTCTGCCCATGTCACTGGTACATAGAGGGAAGCCCAAATTCTAATATCACTTACTGCTGTTGATACAGAGCAGAATGGAACAGCAGAATAAACTTGCCAAGCCACCTTTACTAAAATAGTTTACATGTGACTGTCTTCAGCCATGTGCAAAATTGCAAGACTGTTCAGGCTTAGAAAATAACAAAGGGGTTTATAAAAAGAAAGAAAGAAAGAAAAACAGGAAAAGCAAGCATTATTGAGGACACATGACCATTTATTTTACCCAAAGTCATATCCAGTACTGTCCAGTCCTGCACAAAGACTAGTATAATGGCATCTTCCTGCCACTGAGAATGTGTAGCCCTTTTTCCCAAACAATAGGCCATGTGCCTACAATGGTGTCTTCCTGCTACTTGTGGACACGTGGCAGCCAAACTATAGGTCAGGATCAGATTCTCAAGGACAGCAATAAATGCAACAGGAGGTGTTCCTTGAGCTGTCAAAATTCTCCAACACAGGGCTCTCCCTCATGGTGCAACAGGTTAAAGCACTGTCAAAGCCACTGCAGCACGAGTTTAATCTCTGCCAGGCAGCTGACCCACATTGCGTGACATACCTATTCTGACCACCCACTGCTAATCTCAGTAGTGTATTCTATCAATCTGCCTGTTCTGCTCCCCACTCTGTCTCCGGCTAATTCTCTAACTCCCCACATCTGGCCTGATCATAGTTTTGTAAGCATAAATAAATCATAAAAAAATTAAATAAATCTCCATCACAGAATCAAACAAGTGACACTCAATACCACAGCTGTAGTGGCTGAACGACCTGACAAAGGCCATACTCATGCATTTTAACAAGACACGTGGCTCCATGTCTATTGTCTTGTCCAGGCCACACTTCAGAAAAATGCCTGTCTCTCCAGGTTTCCCTAACAAACTTTTCCAAAATGACTGTTTAGATGAGGCTGTGCACAATGGTCTCTGCCATGTGGCCGCACCGCAAAGCCCAGCTCTGAGAACCCCTTGTGTTTCTGCTTGGAACCCTCTGCCACCATCATGATGCTGCACTGCTACAGCCATGGCTCTCTCTAACTTGTATAGAGATTTTCAGTGTAGGGAGCTCTTTGGGCCCAATTTTTAGTCCCTAATATACTTTTTTAGTTGTTCCACCCACTTCTAGAATTTTCTGGGACAGTATAATTTTTACCAGGAAATTCCTCCATGGGACACCACATGTAACAGTTTATAGTTTCAGCCACCGGTA